CCAGCCGTATGCCTGATTCTTAAGTGCCTTCAGAAATGGCCTAGTAAATTCTCATTTTTATCAAATAACTGCAGAAGACCTGAACAAGAATAAAACCTATTATTGACTTAGGCAGAGGATGTTAAGAAGGCACACCCTGCCCAGTCCTCCTCACGAACATCTGGAGCTGAACCAAAATCGCGAGAGCTGCCCCAGTAACTCTGAGCAACTGCGTGGTTTAGTCATTTTCACTCAATTAAGCTTCCCAGTCAAGATTCCAAAGTATCTCTTCCCCTTCACAGAGTATGAGGATGGCCTTGGGAGTTCGCAACATTAATTCAAGACTACCTGAAGTCATGTGACATCAGATTAAACATGGACAAGGAACCTTTTGATATTTACTGCCTACTGCCCACTTCAGCTGATAAGTGCTCTGCCATGTTGTACTCTACTTGGAGGAAGTACTGAAGATAGCAAGAGAACAGTGTACTCTAGATGTTGCACTTCAATATCCATCAAGATTGATTCAGCAGTTCAGTAGCACTTCTGACCCAGCTGCCTGAATTCTGAAGGACGTAGCTGCCAGACTTGGCCTGAGTCTGATAGTGACAGAACCAGCAGTAGAGAATAAATATTTTTTACCTCATTCTAACCTAATTGTTGCTGATGCATCTATCCTTATCAGTAATGGTTGAAATGACCATTGTACAGTCTTTGTGGAGCAATCGAGTTCACACTGAGAATCCATTCCATTGTGTTATGTGTCACTAAATTCGTGTTGAATAGGTTAAATTCAGGGCAGATTCACAGCTGTAAACTGGATGTCCAAGTTGTGATGCACTGGTTTAAAGAGAAATCGGTAAGGAGAACGAACCCCTACAAGTTTTGGGTAGGTCAGACCTATTGATAACAAAGGCATGAATGAGAGTTTCAATGGAAGGTGAGCAGACAATACTGTTGAAGTATTAATAGATGATGGAGCAGCTATGGTTTTAGAAGGTCATCTGAAGTATGAATATAGTATTAAGGTTGTGCATGTCTGGTTCAGCTTTGGAAAATGACCATGGGAAAAGATGAATTTGGTGGCTAGGGAACAAAATTTGTGGTAGGGACTAAAGAGAGAACTTTGGTCTTCTCAGTCTTTACCTTTCGGTTTGTTGAGTCAGTTCTGCCATTTTATGTGATCATGACGGGCCAACACTTCAATGTTTTTTAGTCACGGTATCATTGTGACTCTTTATGCTATTGATAAACAAAAAAATTATCAACCTCAACTTTAAATGTACTCAAAGACTGAGCTTCCACTTTGGGAATTCCAAAGATGCTTCACCTTGTGCATAAAAATATTTCTTCTTATTTCAGTCCTAAATGGAATCTCACTTATTTTGATTTATTGTTGCGTGTATCCAAGTACAGTGAAAAGCTTTGGTTGCAAGCAGTGCAGGCAGATGATAGTAAGCAAGGACATACAGATCATAGGGTGAGAAAAAACCTGGACAGAGTAAGGTATACAAGTTGCACTGCGCAGGACATGTGCTAGGCAAGATGAGCATTATTTGAAGTTAGAGAGTCCAATCATCAGTCTAATAATGGCAGGGAAGAAGCTGTTCTTGAACCTGCTGCTGCGTGTCATCAAGCTTCTCTATCTTCTGCCTGACACAAGAGTTTGTAGGAGAGCATTACTGGGGTGGGATGGGTCTTTTTTTTCAAATTGCACTCTGGTTCTGGACTCGCCAAAACTCCACAGGACACATCTTAATTGGTTTCACCCTGTCTATCCCTTTTTACGTATTGTTTTAGGTTTCATTGAGATCATCTCTCATGCTTCAAACCTCCAGAAGAATACTGACCAGGTTTTCCCATTCTCTCTTCATAGGACAGTCCTGTCATCCCAGGAATCTGGTGAATGTTTATTGCACTCCTGTCTTTCTTGAAATAAGAAAAGCAAAACTGTGCACCGTAATTCAGATGTGGTCTAACAAAGCTCTTGCATAATTAAATCAAGGCTTCATTACTCTTGCACTCAAATCCTTTTGTGACGAAGGCTAACATTTCATTAATCTGTCTAATAGCTTGCTGCTCCTGTATGTTAGCCTTAACTAACTGACCAGATACCAAGTCCCCTTGCATATGCACATTTTTGAACCACTGTCCATTGAAGTAGTACTCAGCATGTTCTTCTGATTGAAGTGAATAACCACTTTTTCCAGATTATCTTCTATTTGTCATGTTTTCTCCAATCATTAACCTTTCCAAATGATCCTGAAGTTTTGCATCACCCTCATGTCACAAATTCCCACTTAGCATTGCATCATTTGCAAATATGAAAATGTCACATTTAGCCTCCATATCCAAATCATTGATATATGTTGTGAATTCAAGTAGTGACCTGCTAGTCACAGTCTACCAATTTATTCCCCTATACAGTTTTTTCCTGTCTGATAGCTGGTCTTTAATCCATGCCAGTACATTACCTCCTATACTACTTGATTTAATTTTGCTAACCAACCTCTGTGGAGGCAGCTTTCTGGAAATATATCCATTGACTCCCCTTTAATAATTTTGCTGGCAACATCCTCAAAAGAAACTCTTAAGTTGTCAAATACAATTTCTCATTTGCAATCTGATGAAGGATCACAGGACTCAAAACATTAACTCTGCTTGTGCTGCCAGACCTGCAGAATTTCTGCAGCCATTTCTGTTTTTGTTTGTTTTAGATCTTCAGCATCCACCGTCCTCTGTTTTATTCCCATTTGCAAATCCATGCAAGCTAGGCCCAAAGTGTCCATTTATCACTTTATGATGTCCTTTATGATGGCTTCTCATTTTTTTTCCTTGCTCCTTTCTTAAGTAGTGAATTAACATTTGTCAGCTTCCAATATGCAGGAATTGTTGCAGAATCTGTGGAATTTTAGAAATTGAATAGCAATGCATTAACCATTTCTGTAGTTATCTTGGAACAAAAACAAAGTTGCTGGAGAAGCTCAGCAGGTCTGGCAGCATCTGTGAAGGAATAAATAGTTAACGTTTCGGGTCCGGTGACCCTTCCTCAAACTCTTCCGGGAATTTGTCCTCGACACTTGCTGTCAGTTGGTTTATCTAGTTTATGTGAAGATTGAAGCCATCTATGATTACTCAATTGCACATGACCCTACAAATGCTATTTGGTGGCCTATAATAGCCCATTGCTGTTTCATAATTCTAGTCAAAAAGAATTCATCATTGTTCTTCTGATCTGATATTCTCCCTTGCTAATGTATTTATCCCATCCTCTATTATTATCGTAATTGCACTTCCTTGGCCTCGTCTGTTCTTTCTAAACATCAAATATCCTTGAATATTCTGTTTCCAGTTCAGGTCCCCACTCAGCCATCTTTCTGTAATGGCAGTTAGATCATAACTAGTTAGCATGTTGTTATCTTTATCTCCTTGGTATTGCTCCATATTTGAGGCATCCTCACAGTTCAGTCTTATTTCTTCTATCCGCTAATTTCCCCTGCAGCATTTCTTCTTCCTGCACCCAGCTTAACTTGCTTCCAACTTCTTATCCCCTGGTTCTCATCCCCTAGACAATCTAGTTTAAACCCTAATTGCAGTAGCAGATCTTCCTGCAAGGATATCAATGCCGGCCCTGTTAAGAAGTAACCACCCAATTTGTTCATGTGCCACCTGCCCCAGAAATAGTCCTAATGCCTCAGAAAACTGATGCCCTCTTTCCTAAACCAGTTCTCTAGTGACATGTTCCATGGATCCTCCTGTTCTTTTCCTGATTAGCGCATGGGAGTAATGCTGAGATTGCTGCTCTTCAGGTCCTGCTTTTTAATTTCTGTACTAACTCCCTGAATTCTGCTTATTAGGACCTCATCCCTCTTCCTGCCTATGTTATTGCATAAATGTGGACCATGACTTCTAACTAATTTCCCTCCCTAGAAGGGAGGGAAGCTGCTGCTCCATGAGATCCTTTACCCTGGCAATCATGAGCCAATACACAATTCTGGAGTTATTTCAGCTGCAGAAATGCCTGTCTGATCCCCTGACAATGAAATCCCTTGGTATTATTGCCTTTCCATTCCCCTCTCCTATGACCATTAAGACACCTTTTGTGCATTGACTTGATTCTGGCTACGCTAGTTTCCAGAATGAAATATCAGTTGAAAAGCATAATACTCAGGACAAAAACATAAGTTGCTGGAGAAACTCGACAAATCTGGCAGCACCCGAGGAGAGAGAAAAACGGGTTAGCCTGGAGTCCAGTGACCCTTCTTCAGAACTCAGGGACTGGCAGGCGCTACCTGCCTGTTTTTTTTAGACTGCGTTGTTACCCATTTGCATTGGGATGAAGCAGGCTAATGAGTTTGTTGCAAAGTAATTTTAATTGGAATAGTATAACTAATTAAGTTAAGCTTTCTCAATTCTCTTTCTTTAATAGTGCATTTTTTGCTATTTCTGATATAAATGAAATCTGTATCTTAAAAGTATTTGTATTCTTGTTGGGTATAAATGTGCAGTTATTCTGGTTGGTAATCAAGGGGGAGGGAACAGAGACAAGGCTTTTTGCTTCATGTGGAAATTGAGGGTTTAATATTTTGAAATAAGTCATTTATTCAGTGTCATGTGATTTGGTGACAAGTACCTTAATAAAATGTCCTACAAACTTGGTACAAAACAGGTCCTAGACACATTCTACTACCCCTACCCCTACGAAATCCAATATACAAGCTTTATTGATTTGTGGTATGTATTGATCATGTAGTAAGTAATTTTAATCTTCTAAGAATGCTGTAGCATTTTTCCTTTTGTTATTTAATTAAAGTTGTACATTCAGAAACATCTTACAAGTCTTATACAGAAAAATCTATTTCAGAAGTTTTTAGAAAATTATTAATGATTCTTTCTAGAATACTGAGATGTGATCTTAAAGAATTCCATTGCATATACTGAGATTAATATGCAAATAGAGCTGGATGTAAAAATACCTGACCTCAATTGGCTGCATTAACACTAAAACTGTTATTTAACAGGATTGATCGTGTTTTCGGGAAATTGGGAAAAATGAACATGGTGAAAAGGATCATGGGCCGTCCACGGCAGGAAGAATGTAGTCCTCAGGATAATGCACTTGGCCTTATGCACTTGCGCCGTCTCTTCATGGAACTCTGTCATTCACCAAGACACATGACACAGAAGGAGCAGGAGGAAAAGCTCTATATGATGCTGCCAGTTTTCAACAGGGTGAGTGCAGGCATTCAGCTAGTGCTGGGAGTAGTAATAGCTGGTCACAAAAGAAAACCTTAATCTTTAGACAAGAACAAATTGGTTTTCAAGAATTAAAATTGGAACAGAAACGAAATAAAGATGAGTAACAGCGAAACTTTACATTGTTGCTTGTTTGTGTTTATCAATGTGATTAGTTCCTTTTTAATTGTGTTTTGATTCTCACATGCCTGTATATCATTTAGTATAGTTTGTGATCTCGAAGTAATGCTCACTGTGTGCTGAGGTTTGGGCTGCTTTTAGGGTTATTTACTTTTGCAAGAAAAATTAGTTTGGTTAACATTACTGTAGACAATACTTTATTAATGTTGGCAGGACAACCTCATGAATGGACTGCATTGTAAATTTGCATTGAATTCTATGTTGGTGCTCTCTTGTATTGTTTCACTTCATTTTTCTTCTGAATGTTGAAAGATAATACATTCCTCTATGGTACTGTTTTTAGATTTTAAGAGCCTTTAATTTTATTGCATGGTTTTTGTAGGTTTTTCTCTTATTCTGAAATACAGTTCATGCCAGGCAGTTTAATCTTGGTACTAGGAAAGCTTAGGAACCAGTAATCCAGGGCAACATTGGCAGTCCTACAGACAAGTGTGGAATTTTTTTTGAGAAACCACACAGATTTGTTGAAAGCAAATCATGTTTACTAATTAATTGAGATTGTTGAAATAACAGAACATTGAAGATAATGCAGTTGATATGACACGTATAAATACTTAAAAGAGGGCTACGCAAGATGTAGCAAAGTTAAGGTCCATAATTTGAAAGGATAATGATAGCATGGATACAAAGTTGGCAGAGTGACAAACTGAGTAATTGCGTTTTGGACTGGAACAAGTTTCCTAAGGTCCTAAAACCACTGTTTTTATGGCCTTCATGTAGATGAACAAGATATGACTTCAAAATTTGGAAATGACCCAAAACTTTGAGGTATTGATCGACTAAAAACTCCAGACACAGGCGGAAAATTAGATTTTTTAAAACAGTTGTCTTGTTATAATGTTGTGATTTGTGATATTGACATTTTAAAGTCATTTATTATAGAGTTTGGATTTTTAATTAGCGGCATGTGGCTTTGGTCTATGTGTCTGAAGGGTTTTAATAAATAGTTGTAAATATTTTTGTAGCCATGGTGATAAGTTTTAAAATATGGTATGAGCAAGAGAGGCTTCCTGGTGAGTGAGGTTTTGTTTGCATTGGGAGATTTTTTGAGTAATCAGAGTAAACAATATCATGCATTAGGCTTTATTCAGAAGGTACCATTTTGTTTTTTGGCTTGGGGAAACACCCAAAATGTAAAGAAAGCCTTCTTGGGTTGTTTAGCTTCAGGGGTCTTGGCTAAAGCTACATGTGAGATAAATTTGTTCCATAAGGGAGATAGTTTAGAACAGTTTAAAAACAAGTTAGCTCGATGTAAGCTGTTTAGTTTGTAAGTTCCAGATTAGTATTTGGTTAAAAACTCTGGATGTGACCGAGAATAGAATTCTTTTTGTGAACACTGTGGCATTAATAGGATTGTTTTGAAATCTTTAAACCTGTATTATATGTTAATAGTTAGGTTTATTCTATTTTATTATTTTATTATCTTTTGCTTGTGTTTTATTGTTGAAACCAAACCAAAAACATTGTGTGCTTGTGGGCAGTGAAAGACTATCCTGTTTAAAACAAAATATGACCCACAAAGCCAGATTTCAGTTTGGAAACTGACTTATCCAGTAATAACATCAATTCAGATTGTAACAATTGTTCATTCAGGAATGGAAATGCACAGATAGTACAGGGTTCAATGTAATATCTTTTTAGTGTAAAGTGTTTGCAAAGATTCAGTGGTACAGTACACCCACTGCACATTGCAGCTATACGTCAGCTCCTCTTCGGGAACATTCACCATGCAGAAAATCACATCCACAATTACTGGGGTACTGTACATATCCTATAGTTCTTGATTTGTGTTTGTAATAGCTCCCTCTCACTAGATACTTTTAGAATGATCCAGACCCGACCACTTGAGTCACTTCATTTAATCTTTGGATAGTTCCCTTCCAACCAAGGTAGAATGCAGTATCTTAGAGTTCAGTTGAGACACTGGTTCTAGAGCCATCAAAGATAAAACTTCTGTTCCTTGAGCGTCTGAGATTCAGTGGAAAAATGGCCCTTTACAACTGCAACATTGCTGTCAACTGAGGTAGAAAAATTACTTGGAACTCCAAAATAATATTGGTGAAGGACATTTCTATGATCAACCAGTTTGCTTTTCCAGTCAATTCTGTAATATTGATTAAAGATTTAACAGCAAAGAGATGGAGGGAAAGTCTTCTGGGTAGTTTAAAGCTTGAAGCACAATTCCTGTGTCTTAATGTGAGGTTTAGGTAAACACTTAAAATATTTAATTGGCTGTAAATAACAGCCTCTTAATTGCTGTATTTTGGCATTTTTAATTACAGTAGTGGCATGGTAAGTAGCGTTTATGCACTACCAAAATAGTACTGTATATGCCCTTTAAATCTTAATTATGTAAATAATTAGTTCTCTCCAAAATAGAGGAAATGTGCCCTTATTGGACTCTTTTTTAAAACATTCTGTACATGGTGCCGTGCTTTTCAGAGTGTGTGCTTATTTTTTTTTCAGTATACATTAACAAGATGTGCACATTTGGAAATCTTCAACTAAAATAAAACCTAGTTAGTTTTAGTATTACTATATTGTGAATTGAGACTCACTTCCTGAACGCTTAACCCTCTTCCCACTAAACTGCTGATCAACCCCACTTTTCCTGCTGGTCTCCATGTTAGCAATTTGTTGTTGCTGGTTTTCTCTCTTCATATACTGTTTCTTCTCTCCTTTTATATCTTCTGTCATCACTGTGCCTGAAAGGGGTAGAGAGGGCTTGGGGAAGGGTTGTATGCCTGCGAGCCATACCTGGACTATAGCCCAAAGTAGAGCCAGGTGGAAGGAGATTGGTGGGGAAACCAGGACCAAGACAATACCATTGGAAGAAACTTCCAAGGTAACAAAATTGATGATGCTGTTCTTGCATTTGAGAGATTTTGTTTTTCAAAAAAAAGCCGTGTGCTATGACAGTCTAGTTTGAATTTTCTACTATGGTGGATCCCCATTCACCTTTGTGTCCAGCAGTAGGGCCCACATGAAAATTAGGTAGATTTAGGTGAAGCAATAATGTTATTTTTAAATTCACTCATGGGATGTCTGCATCATATTTATTGCCCACCACTAGATGTCCTTGAGAAGGTGGCAGTCAGCTGCCTTCTTGAACTACTGCAGTCCACTTGTTGAAGGTCCATCCACATGCTGTTAGGGAAGGCGTTCCAGAATTTTGACTCGGCAACTGTATTTGCTGCCTTTGTCCCTCTAGATGACATTGGTCATGAGTTTGCATGGTGTTGCCTTAGGAATAGTGGAGAATTATTGCAGTGCATCTTATAGATGGGATACAGTGCTATTGAGTGTCAGGGATGGAGGGAGTGAACTTTGGGGATGTGGTGCCAGTCAAACTGGCTGCTTTCTCTTGGATGGTGTCAAGCTTCTTAAATTTTGATGGAGCTGCACTCATTTAGGCAACTGGAGAATATTCCATCACATTCCTGACTTGTGCATTGTACATAATGGGCAGGTTTTGAGATGTCAGGAGAGGAGTTGCTTACCACAGAATTCCTTGCCTCAATCCTTCCCTTGTAGCCATAGTATTTATAAGGCAGGTTCAGTTTAGTTTCTGGTCACTTGTAGCCCCCAGGAAGTTGACAGTGGGGAATTATTTGACGGTAATTCCATTGAACATCAGAAGAGATGGTTAAACTCATTCTTGTTGGAGATGCTGATTGCGCGGCACTTGTGTAGCTTGAATGTTTCTTGCCAGTTCAGCCCAAGTCTGAATTTTGTCTACATCTTGGTGCAAACAGGCATGCACTTTCAGTATCTGAGGAATCATAAATAGGACTGACCATTGTACAGTCAGCAGCAAACATTCCCACTTCTGACTGTCTGATGGAGGGAAGATCATTGAAGCAGTTGAAGGTGTTTGGGCAGAACTCCTGCGGTAATGTCTGAGGACTAAAATGAGTGACATTCAACAACAATACCAATTTGCTCTGTGCTACGGATGACTTAACCACTAGAGCATTTTCCCCTGATTCTGATTAACTCGTGTCTCATGGATACCCAATTTTGAGTTGTCAAATTTGTTTGAAATCCTACCCCATTCAGTGTTAGTGCCACATAACATCATGGAGGATATCCTCAATGTGAAGGTGGGCCTTTTGCCTCCACAAAGCGCTTTGATGTCACACTCTGTCGAAATGTTGCTTTGATGTTGAGGGCAGTTCCTCACAACTCACCTCTTGAGTTAACAAGTCTGTTCTTGTCTGTTTGATCCATGACAGTAGTGAGATGCACGTTGGCAGAACTCAAATTCTGAGCAAGGACTGCTTGAATATGCTGTTGATGACTGTTTTGCCACTTGAAGGTGGATAGGAAACAGGGCGGATAAAACGTAAGAAATAGCATGAGTAGTATTTAGTCCTTTTTGAGCCTGCTCTACCATTCAGTGAGATCCCTGCTGATCTGTTAATTCAGCACCATTTTCCTGCACTATTACTGTATTTCATGTAATTGGCTGGATTGAGTATGTCATGCTTTTTGTGGACAAGGCATGCCTGTGCAATTTTCAATATGGTTGGGTGGGGTTGCAGCTATACTGGAACAGCCTTATTGATGTGTAGCTAACATTGGAGCATGTCTTCGGTACAATCACTGGAATGTTGACCAGGCCCATTGATGCATCTAATTCAGCCATTCCTTGATATCACGTGGAGTGAACTGAAGTGACTGAAATTAAGATTCTGGATACCTCAGGAGCAAGCTGAAATGGATCATCCAATCCGCGCTTCTGACTGAAGATAATTGCCAATAGAGTCGTTGAGACATACAGCACAGAAACAGAC